GGGTGCGCAGCGGGAATCTGGCGGGCGACCCAGTGGGGGCAGCCTTTGTTGTCTTTATTTCCCCACTATCTTTTCTTCTTCTTCTCCTTTTCCTCCTCCTCCTCCTCCATTGGGCCTTTGAACTGAGCTACACACCCAGCCTTTTTTATTTTTTGTTTTGAGATAGGGTCTAAGTTGCTAAATTGCCCAGTCTGTGTTCAAAGTTGTGATCGTCCCCCTTTGGCCTTCCAGAGGGCTGGGGTGACAGGCGTTCCCCATGCCGCTTGGCAAACTGTAAAAGTCTCACCGTTTTTACCGATATTGTTCTTCTCTGGTCGATCACACTGATTCCCCTGCTCCTGGGGTAGCCATGCCTGTCAGAACTAATTCTCAAACACGATGCGGAGTAACTTTCTAGCCCATTGTGAATTGCCCTCCTCTCCCCACCACTTGCCATTGTGAGGAGAGTGTGAAGAACGCGCGCTTTCTACATTCCCGGGGAGACCGAAATGCACGGCGGTTTTACATTTTTAAAATTCATCGCAGTAAAAGTCACACTGCCACGAACCCCACTCAGAATCCTCCCCTGGCTTTGAACCCGCTCATCCCATCGTCCCTGCCACTTTCTACCTCAGCGTTTGTGAGGGTCTTTATTAGGTGCCATCAAAAACGAATGCTGGGGGTGCCGAGCGCCATCCAGCAGAAAGGCAGCTCCTAAAAACATGACACTGTGGGCTGGGATTTACCTTAGGGATTCCATCGCCTGCCTCCCAAGCAAAAGGTCCTGAGTTTGATCCCCGGAACCAAACCAAACCAAGTAAAACAAAACAAAACAAAAATAACCTACAACACTGTGTCCTCGCCCACCTTTGTCACTGGATCTGGCACTGTGGGACTCCTGGCTCTTCCCAAAGTCACAGTGACCATGACACAGAGACGTTTTAAATCCACTCAGGGCATCGAGGCAGCCAGGTCAGCACAGCTAATGAAAGAGGACTCCAGAGCTGCTGAGGGAAGTGAGAAGGACCATGGGATGCGTGTGTGCAAAGGGAAAGGGAGGACTTTGAGGGGACTCATGGCAGTGTGTCATTTGCTGTAATGAATTCTAAAATTTAAATTAAAATAACTAAATATCACCATATTTTTGATTACCCTGTATACACAAGCCATGCTGTCTTCTTGTCACTGGGTCTTGGTTTCAGACACTCTCTTCCTGGACACGGTGCTAGAAATCTGGTTTTATCCACACAGCCCTCTAAGGTCTAAATTAGTTTCTTCTGTTCTGCAGGAAAAGTTCCTCTGAGATCACACATTTGTTCAAACTTTTTGTCTTAAAAACCTATGAAAGCAAGGCGAGCTCCCCAAAAGGAAAGGGCATATTCTTTATGCCCTTTCTATTTTTATCAAGGTTTGCCTAAGCATGTCATGGGGGGGAGTCTCATAAAAAATGTCAACTGAAATTGTAGTTCCCTACAGTAAAATATTGAAAAGAGTGAAAAACCTCAAGTTTAAATTTAATCCCGACTGATTGAGTTGATCCAATTTTAAAACATCTTGACTGGCAGGGAAAACTGTAGACAGACTTGTGAAGTTCAGATTTGTGGCTGGGGTGACTTCTGTCATCAGTGGCCCTGACCCCAGCCCCCACATTCCACCCCTGAGGTTTCCATGGATGCATAGCAATTCCAAACCACAAGAGGCCAAGGAATGACAGTCAGGATTCTTCACCGGACAAACAGAGCACATCGGTAAAGAAATACAAACTGCACTCTCTAGGAGGCTGAGGCAGGAGGATTGCAGCAAGTTCAAGGCTAGTCTGGGCCACAGAGCAAGACCTCATCTCAAAGCAAAGCAAAACAAAACAAAACAAATGAAATGGCATTTGTCAGAGCAACTTACTAAGTAATGACACCAGCACTTTCTGTGGGGGAAACAGGCCCACAGAACTCTCTCAGTACCGGTCCAGCAGGTCTGCACTGTCAGTATAGTAAGCTGCTTTTGTCCCCCAGTCTGATCAGGCATTGCCTCTCCTAGGGTTTTCAGTCCCTGAAGTCACTACATTGCCTAGGACTCTAAAGTTGAAGGCCCCACTTACGATGCATTTCTGTTGGTAATGCAGAGACTCAGAAATAGTCTTCCTCCTTCTCAAAACCTTTAGCCTTTCCAAAATACACAATTTCAATTTAAAATTTCCTGCAGAAGCTCTCTGCTACTCTTTCATTTGTCACTATGGGAGGTGGTAAAAACCTATTTTTGCTAACTATGTGCATGCTATTTAACCGTGTGCCTTTTGTTTCTGTGAAGAGAGGAGAAGCCAGGCACAATGGTGCACACCTGTCAGCCTAGCACGGTGGAGGCTGAGGCAAGAGCATCGCTCAGAGTTCAAGGCCAGCCTGGGATACAGAGAGAGACAGCAGCCCAGATGGCCGGGATAAAGGGAGCCCCTGTGGAGAAGGCGGCCTCCCCTGGGTCTCCGACAAACATTTGGTCCAAATGGCAGGGATAATTCTGGCCGCTGCCGCCCCTGGGCCTCTCTCCCTTTGCCACTACCAGTCTGGATTTAGGAGCGAGGCTGGCATTTCCTCCAGCTGCTGAAATGGTAGGTGTCTGCTTCTTGGCTTTTTTAGCTATCACCAAGATATCTCAAAGGAATCGGACACAGCCCACGTGGCCAGCCCAGTGCAGTGACGCCCCTGTGTTTCCCAGGCACCAGTGCAGACAGCAGTGAGATTGCTGCTTCTGCCGTGGCCCAAAGGCACTGTGTGTACTGTGTGTAACACTGTGACAATATAAATCCATGAAACACGTGCTTTTCGGGTATACCAAAATTACCCCACCTCTGTACGGGGTGTGTGTGTGTGTGTGTGTGTGTGTGTGTCAGTACTGGGGATGGAACCCAAGCTTTCACACTGAGCTGAATCCCCAAACCTCTGTTTTGCATTTTGAGACAGGAGCTCACTAAATCACTAAGTTGCCCAGGCTGGTCTTGAACTTGGGATCCTCCTGCCTCAGCCTCCCAGAGTGCTGGGATGGCAGATGTGCACCACCACGCCCAGTTTATACATGTATAATTTTAATATATGTATATGTGTGTAATTTCGATGCATAATTTATATGTATCACATCTGTATAATTTCTATTTCAGAAATCCTACTATTAAATGCTTTGGATTTGGAATTATTATTTTGGTAATAAAGGGGTGAGGTGAAATGAATTTCAGGTATTTTAGCCAACAATAAAATTCAGTTCTCCCCCCCATCCCCACCCCCAAGATGGATACCGCTTGCCTGTGGGAAAATCTTTTAATACTGGAAATATAGACAATTGATGGTGTTCTTTAGTCTCATAACTGAAGGTGATGGTGTCCAATTCTTAATGATTGGCTCAAATAAACAAAGAACAAAAGCTCTGGAAAGGATTCGCTGGGTGCGCCTGCAATCCCAGCACTTGGGAGGCTCAGGCAAGAG